TGCTCAGCAAGGCCCAGCAGCCGGTGCCGGGGAGCAGCCATTGTCGGGGAGCAGCCGGAGAGGCCCGGCAGGACTGCCCCAGCCCGCTCGCCTCCCAGGAGCCGGAACAACAGCTCCTGGGCTGCAGGGAGGAGGCCGGAGAGATGGCCTGGGATGGTGTCTGGGACGCCATGGAGAACCCGAGGAGGAGGAGAGGAGGAAAAGATGATGCCACCTTCCGGGGATGGAAAGTTCTCACCTCTCTATCGCACTTCAGGCCCCTTCCCGGAGTGGGCCAGTGTGGGGGGCCTGGGGTGAGTAACAGCAGTCCTCTCACCCCATGACTGACTTTCAGCCCCAGCGGAGGAGGCGGAGGGGGACCCAAGGCCCTATCTAGGTCACCCCAGTGGGTCACCCGCCCCTGCGGCACACCGCATGGTTTCCCCTGCCCGCTGTTGCCTGTAGTTTATTTCTTCACTCTACTACTCATTTCCCCTTTTGATCAGGATTTTTTCTCTTAGACAACATCGTAGATCAAACAAAACATTTTAAAGTCCCTGGATGTCAAGGTGGCAGTGCCTTCCTTGGACCTGGCATGGCCCTCAGAGTGGGCACATGGGCTAGAGACATGCTTGCCTATGAGTTTACAGTCAGCTCAGTATTTGTGCCGAGTTTTAGGTTGAAGCATTAGGAAAGGACCAGTTGAGATATTACTAACATGTACCGGTTCCAGGGACTAGGTCAGTTCAGTGAAGCAGTTGTCTCATTTTAGGAGGCTGTGATGCGGTGGCTCCCAAAATGACTGGTAGGCCTCTGGTGCAAATAACGCGCCTCTCCATGGAAACAAAAGAAAACTGTGTAAGATTGGAGCTGCCCATCAGCCCTCCCTGAGCTCTGGAGGCAGCCAGTCCAGAAGGTTTCTAGATGTCTGCTCGTCGCCTTCCGATGGCGGGAGCGGCGCAGGCTGACGGTTGCCCTGCTCTGCAGCGTGAATGTCTCTGGGGATCTTGCTTCTGCAGGCACAAAGCCTGTCTGTGGGTGAGCTGCTGGGATTTCTCTGACGTTTGTGTCAAGTCGTCCCCTTTAGCGTGTATGACTTTGGGAAAGGGCAGTTTTAGTTCTCAAGGATTACAAATCAAAGGATTCGAGAAAGACTGGAAGTGTCAGTTTGGAGACGCATAGCCAGATGTTAAAGGAAACTAGAAGAATTCAAGATCTGGTCCAGTTTACCTGTATGAACAAAACCTCCAAAGAACCGGTTTAACTCAGTGGTGAGAGCGTTGGCCTGAGGACTGAAGGGTCCAGGGTCCGATAGCGGTCAAAGGCACAGGTGAGGATTAACAGTAATGACAAAATAATAATAATAATAATAATAATAATAATAATGAACAGCACTAGAATCTAATATCCAGAAAGGTGTGTTAAACAATTTTGCTCTCTAAAATAACCCTCATTGTTACCAAATATAGCCAAGACCAATTTGTTTGTGAAATAAATCTAGTTTCAATAAAGTTGGCTTGTTATTTACATAGGAACAGCAAGAATGGTAAGTAACCATATAGGCTTTTAAAAATCTGCTTGACCCGGCTGGTGTGCCTCAGTGGTCACAGTTCAATTTCTGGTTGTGGGCTTGATCCCCATGGGGGCCGTGCAGGAGGCAGCCAGTCAGTGATTCTCTCTCATCATTGATGTTTCCATGTCTCTCTCCCTCTCTCTTTCTCTCTAAAATCAATAAAAATTTTTTTAAAAAACAATCTGCTTTGCTGGAATTTGTCATAAGGAACTTTAAAGGCCCCTGAGGCCAGAACAGCCACGGCAGGGACTCGCCATCAGACACCGCCCGCAGTACCATAGATGTGTGAGTTCCTCTCTTCTCGAGGTCCCCCGAGGAACTGAGGGCCCTGCACCTGCAGGAAGTGGCCTCTTCACTCATCTGGTAAGGCTTCCGAGACGCTGCAAGCAGGGGCTGGCCGGCGGTGCCAACGGTTTCCTTAGCTTCCGTAAGCCACTCCTAATCCCTTGGAGCTGTCTGCTCCTATCTGAATGTATGCACATCTCCCTCGAGTAGGACATTCCACTGAAAGCCTTGGTAACATAACCACTTTCCAAATGTGTCCTCTGACAAGCAGAACAGGTTCTTATTCATGTACGCAAATAGCAATGTTGCCATGAAAATAAGAATACTCACTGTGATTTCTGAATCCTGGAGGAATCAAGTAGGTAGAAAAAAGTCAATGTTTCAATTCTGCTTACAAAGGTATAATTGCTCTAATTCACAGGTTGCTAAAGAAAAAATATTTATGTCTAGAAAAACAAAAAAGTAAAGAAGCAGCAATATTTCAAATAAGAAGTCATAAAAATTGTAATCATCCTCATCAATTCATTCAGTCCCAGGGTATTAATTCTTGTTGGTTTTGCTCTTTTTCTTAACTTTGAGGAATCCAGTTTTTCTTTAAAAAAATATTTTTATTGATTTCAGAGAGGAAGGGAGAGGGAGAGAGAGATAGAAACATCAATGATGATGGAGAATCATTGATCAGCTGCCTCCTGCAGGCCCCGCACTGGGGACCGAGCCTGAATCCCAGGTATGTGCCCTTGACGGAGTCGAACCCGGGACCCTTCAGTCTGCAGGCTGACGCTCTGTCCATTGAGCCAAATTGGCTAGAGCTCCAGTTTTTCTTTAGAGTTCTGCAAATCCTCATCCAGTCCTAAGGTATAATCTAACAGTTAAACAGAAATATGTATTTTAGAGTAAGTGTCAGAGTCCTCAACATGAATGTCTCTGAAGATGAAACATATTTGCAAAAAAAATCAGAATAAGAGTGACTCCGTAAATGACAGAAGGATGTGGTTAAAGATCTGATCACAATGCAATTGACAAAGAAATTTGCTTTTCTCTGCAACACACAACATTTTGAGATAAGTAGAATTACATTATACATTATAATTACATGAAAACATATCAGGATATTGTAGATTCCTAGAATTGTAATACAATTTCTAGAACATTTATTTTAATAATGATATTGCATACAAGTATAACACAATTATTGTTTCTTATTTGACAATGCTTCCCATGTAATTTTAGCAACTCAAATAGACCTAACTAGTTTATTTTCCTCCTTTTTTTGTTTTTAAATATATTTTTATTGACTTCAGAGAGAAGAAGGGAGAGAGAAACATCAAAGATGAGAATCATTGACCTGCTGCCTCCCGCAGGCCCCCACTGGGGATTGAGCCCCACCCTGGGCGAGCGCCCTGCCGGGAACCGCACCCTGACCTCCTGGCTCCTGGGTGACACTCAGCACTGAGCCACCCGGCCGGCTGTTTTCCTCCTTCTATAGAGAGAGAAGGAGCATCCTTTAAAATGCGTCATGGATTCTTCTTAAAAATCTCAAAAGTTATCTTTAGGTTAGGAAAGAAAGGGCTCCAATTTTTTAATTTTGGGAAGTTTGTCAAACATTTCAAAAGTTTAAAAGTAACTGGTCAGCTTTCTGAGGGGTCCCGCTCACCGCTGGTGTTGGCCGCCGTGGGACTTGGGGCTCCCCGGGAGGGCTGAGGCTGGAGGCAGAGGGACATGTCTCCGCCCAACAGACAGTCAGGTCACTGCAGCGGCGCCTTTGCCCAAACCCTGAGGTGTCCTGGGCCCCGCGCTCACCACCGGGCCGGAGAGCCTGGCCCTGGGCTGTGC